CCCAACCACCCCCCCTCCTGCGGAGCAATATTCTTTCCCCTGCCTTTCCCAATTTGGAGGTTCATGGTCAACTTCCACCTTCCCCTCCCCCTCCTACCTCTGCTCCACTCCTGGACCTCCTCTAAGCACTGGGCTAGCCCATTGCTTGCTCCCTTTTCTCTTTTAAATCTCTCTCAGGTAGAAAAGCAGCTAGGTTCCTTTTCTACTAATCATTCTGCTTCCTCAGTCAGTACCAGATATTAGGAAAGAGTTTTTTATTTTTAAAGCCTCTCTATATAAACTTGAAATCAGGAAATAGTGAAGAATTCATACAAGAGAAAGACCATATTCATGTAAATGATTGGATAAAGACTCTAGATATCATAGTTGCCATCAGTTTCAAAGAGAAAAAAAATCTTTTTCATTTTAACCTCGAAGAACGTAGTTACTACCATGTTCCCTCAAGACTGATGGTGGAAATAACTACACTGTGGTCTCTATTTTGCAACATTTGAAGTCGATTTTAAAATATGCTATATATGGCAAATCCACTTGCTAAATTTTATTTTGATGTCCTTATATTTATTCTGTGACTTTGCTCTTTCTCCATTGTGCTTCTCCTTAATGATAGTTATTTTTCTGCTGCAATGTATTAAATGGGATATCAATCACCAAATGTGTCAGTTTGTGATCATAATTTGCAAATAAATCTGTCTGTGAAAGGGTCAAAAAAAAAAAAAGGTTGAGGATGATCCCCAATCTCTTAAACGGGAATTGGTGAAAATGGCCTTTAAAGTTTTTAATGCCCGAGAGCAATCAGCTGAGTCTTTGACAGACAAAACTACAACAATCTACAGGCACAGGCCTTAGCAGCTGCCCTAAGGTCACAGGAAGGGGGACAAGGGAAGTCAACCACAGGGCTCTATTAAGTGTGGCCTAAATAGTCACGTGGCACGATATTGCACTACACCTGAGTGCCACTGTGTAGGCTTGTCCTCTATGCCAAGCCATGGAGGTCCAGCCTCATCACCATCGGCAAGTGAAACTGTGCCAGCCTTCAAACGTCTCAGCCTTGCAGAGGATTGAAGCTGCCCAGACTTGGTTTATCCGGTCACCCTCTCTGAAAGACCCTACAGACCCCCTCCTCAAAACCCATAGCTAGCATGCTCCCGGGGGAACGTCCTGTTTGCTTTAAAAAAATTCTCCGGATCAGCAGCCAGCCTGCTCCCCTAAGAACATCCCATGTGCCTGAGAGAGCAGGAGATAGGAAGACTGCAAGGCAAGATGTCAATAAGATAGGATGTCAACAAAGCAGGTTAGCTATAAGATAGGAACAGGATGATTGTTGCCAGGCATCCATGCTGAGAGAGGAAACCATTCATGCCCCCGCCTCATTCTGGTCGACTGATAACCACGCTTTTGCTTCTGTAAACTTGCTTTTTGCTCTTCCCTATAAAAAGCCCGCCCTCCAGTTGGCAGGTGCGCAAATCTTCCAAGAGATCTTGCTGCCCACAGGTACCTGTGTCTACTCAATAAACCTCTTGCGATTTGCATCCATGCAGTCTCAGCCTGTTCCTTGGCGTTGGGGAGGTCTCCCTGATAAAAAGGTCCTCTCCGAGGGTCTTTCACTCTCCTAGCCTAGGGTCATGCTACAAGTGGCGGGTAAGTCCATTACTTTTATTCTCACTCAGGCCTTAAGTTTCCCTCACCAATTTCAGCTATGGGGGTAGATGGGACCCGTTCCTCCCCACTTAAAACTTTGCCACTGCCCTACCATCTTGAAGGACATTTTTTTCTCATTCTTTCTTAGTGACACAGGATTACCCAGCACATTTACTGGGTGGGGATATCCTTAGCCACTTGCCCAAAGCTTTGTTATGCTTCTTGAAGCCCCTTTTTAACCCCACCATCTCTTCTATTTTACAGGTTCACTCCTCCTGCCAGATGTGTGCCCAGGTCAACCCACAAGGAGCTCTCCACATACACCAGGTTCATGGACACCAACCAGGCAAAAAATGACAGGTTAATTTTACCCATATGCCTACTCATAAAAAACTCTGTTATCTCTTAACACTTGTGGACACTTTTACAGGATGGATAGAAGCATTTCCGGTCTCCAGGGAAACAAAAGATGTGATGACTCACGTCATGGAGCTCATGTCAGAAGCTCTCAACATCTTTTGGATAATGGGACTCATCAAACAACAACTAACCAAGCTCTCCACTGAATTCAGGTTCTCTTGGCCCTTGCCTCAGGGCCATCCCACGTTCCTCCTATGGGCCTGAGCCCTTTTGAGTTGCTTTATGGCAGGCCCTTTCTCCTTAACCATCACCTCCCAGTTCAAACTCCTTCACTGGCGGGATACCTACCCTACCTCTCCCTTTTAAGGTCCCTTTTCAGTTCACATGCTGACAGTTGTCTCCCTGCCCCAACACCAGTGGGCCCTAATGCCCCTAAACCTGCCCTGCTCTCCCCAGAGGACAGAATACTCTTTAAACAGTTAACTCCTAGGTCTCTGGAGCCTCGATGGATAGGACCTCACATGGTAATCCTCACCACCCCCTTGGCTGCCAAGCTCTTGGGACACCCATGCTGGTACCATCTCTCCAGGTTCAAGCGGACACCTACTCAAGACACTTGGTCTGTCCAGAAGACAGGACCCTCCGGTTTTCCAGGACGCTACGATGAAGGGCCTACCTGCTCCTCATTCTGGTACTCACCTTTAGCGATAACAATTTTTTTCCTAGACACCTGCCTTCTCATCTCCCCCAAGGAACAGATGCCTGCCTTCTCTGGAATGACAGTTCATGGGATGTCTTTCCAGCCACGCCTCTCTCTAAACGTGGACACCTGGCTCTCCCCTTCCCCACACTGCCCCGTGCCTGCAGGAAGTAGCCGCATTTGAGTCTACACCCCCCTTTTTTTTCCCCAAAGAGAGCCTAAATGTTTGTCATAATTACCATTCCAGTTTTCTGTCACCCTATAGCCAAAGAGTCTGGAATGTCAAGTTGGGAGTGTAAGCCCCTGCCCCTTGCATCTATCCCAGCCCTCAGGCCTGGTCTGGACTCCAAATCCCAGCAGGCCAGGTCCTGACCCCTGCCTGGGGGTGGGGTTAGGACCACTCCCCAGGGTATTTAAGTGATCCCCCCCCAAAAGAGGAAAACATGGTCTCCTTTTCTTCCTGCCGAGGGATTGCATTTCTGCAGCTTCCTGGTTCGCCCTGGGGGCCACCCGAGAGTGCAGAACTCCCATTGAACCTGGATATATTTTAATTTGGCTTGTTTTGATTTGGCTTGATTGGGAATTTTTTGCGTCATCAGGGAGCTCATGTTAGGAAATATTCTTAACAACTATAACTATAAATTCTTCAACTCCATTAAAGACTCCAGAAGGATATAATACATAAGTAAAGAGGAGGTGGATTGTAAGCAACTTCCAAAACTCTTGAAATGACAGAGACATCTTGTTACCTGGACAGTTACCAAAGTTCTTATGTACCATTGGAGCATCCATCTTCAGCCTATAGGCCCATAGCATTTAGCAGACATTTTGAAGAAGCAGCAAATTTCAAAGACGGTTCAGCCTATATTGGCAGTTTGTCAGTCTTTTTCTTCTGTGCCCCAAACAATGTCATCTCTTTAGACCTCTTTTCAGGTTCTTTCAACTTGGTCTACAAGCTGTGACTGGGGAGGACATTGTGCATAGGGCAGAACATATATATTATATATAATTTTCCAAAATGCCTTAGAGGATGTTTATGAGGAATGGAAGGGGAGGGTGGTAGATGGGAAGCAGAGGGGGTACCAGTGAAGAGGTATGTAAAATAAGTGCAAAATTTTTATTTAAATGAAAAAATAATCATAAAAATTATAAATGCTCAACGGATACCTCAGACATATTACTAACTAGCTCTTACAACTTAAAGTAAGCTATTCTCTCTAGCCTCTTCCTGATTTATCAATGAAATTCAGCTACAAAGAAATATTCTATCAGAACATGGTTTGATAGAAGGAATCAACTAAAAAACAAGTGTATTAATGCAGACTCAGAAAGCAAATTCTCTCTTCTCCTCTCTCATTGAATCTCCTAACTCCAAATCATCACACATAAGAAGTAACCAGGAGTAATCACAGAACTCACATCTTGCCTTCCTAATGAAAACATAATGGAAAGTAAATCTTTTGCACAGGAATGGGCCAATAATAAAAGTTCTCAATATTTGAATGAGCTCCTTTTAAGCTGTTCATTTTTAAAATTTTTGGAATAATTTCCAGAAAGTATTTATTTATGATATAAATTTCAAGTATATAAAAAATTTCACAACATTACTATCATTTAAAATAACTGCTTTTTTATAATTTTGCTATAAAAGCTTCTTTTCATTACACTGGGTTCTCTTTCTCTGGGTTTCTGTCCTGTATCTGCAATGCATCAGAGTGAAGCATCTTTGCCAGGGAAGTGTTATACTGGGCTTGGAGACGCAGAGGATTGGAGTCTGTGGTGGTGGACCAAAGGCATGGCAGCAACAACAACTGAGAACTCACATGAAAATCTAAAATCAGCTGGGCAGTGGTGGCACACACATTTAATGCCAGCACTCGGGAGGCAGAGGCATATGGATCTCTGTGAGTTTGAGGCCAGCCTGGTCTACAAGAGCTAGTTCCAGGACAGGCTCCAAACGCTACAGAGAAATCCTGTCTTGAACAAAAAAAGAAAAGAAAAAGAAAAAAAACACAGGAATTATTGCACATATTGCAATTGGTTTTCATTTTATATATAGAAAGTATTAGGAGTTAAATTACATATTTACACACTTCATAATCTCTTTTGTTCCATTTTAATTTTTTATTTCTTAATTATATCATTACTCCTACGAATATTTTATTTTCTTACGCATTGGTATCTCTCTCTCTGTGTATGTGTGTATGTGTGTGTGTTTATTGAGAAGCCTATGTGATTGTTAGAAGACAGCTTCGGAAAGTGATACACTATTTTCACCACATAAAATCCAGGGAGGCAATGCAGATAATCACATTTACTGGCAAGAATCATTACGAGCTGATACATCTCATGTTCCCAGAACATTCTTTGATTACCCACAAGAGAAGCAAATTTACCAACACAGCATTACAGAGTTACTACTGATGTTTGTTCTACACACTACTTCTTTTCACTGTGAGATCACAATGGACTTCAGCAGGGACTTAAAACACAGAAATTCTGGAACACACTACTAAAAATTAAAGGACAAACACACTTAAGTTTCATTCATTCTAAACACTTTGAATACTTTTCCACATTTATTCTAAATAAAGGTTCTCACCAGTGAAAAAAGTTATTGAGTATAGTAGGAAATGCGGTTGCTAAAAGATTTTTCACATGGTCATACATGTAAAGTCTGTCTCCAGAGTGAATTCTTTTTCCCCCCCAGAGTGAATTCTTTAGAACATCATAGCAACAGGAACTCCTGAAGACTTGGAACAATACTTAAATGTATATATTCATTACAATTCTTTCCAGGATAGATCTGTGCATGAGGGTTACAGAAACTGGATGTGCTAAAGACTTTCCCACAATACAGACACTGTGTGAGATCTTTATGCTTGTTAAAATGACAAGAACAAAGAAATAGTTTACATACCATGTTTATATACAAAAGGTTTCTATCCAGTGGAATGGTTATACTCTTATACTAAGTGAATCTAGTAAAGGCTTTCTGACAGTGGTTACACACATTAGGCTACTGACTAGTGTGAAGAGTTTCAGACCTGTTACGATCACAAGAGCAGCTGAGGGCTTTTCCACAATTCTTATGTGCATAAGTCTTTACCTTCAAGTCAACTATTTTATTTATGCCTGTTAAAGTCTACAGAATGAACAGTTTCCACATCTTTTACACACAAAGAGTTTTTCCTCTAGTGTGTGTTTTTTTTTCCATGCAAATCAGGAGAAGTTGAAGTGTTAAAAGGTTTCCTGTAATGTATACGTGCAAAAGCCTTCTCTTCAATTCGAACCCTTTCTTGGATGTTCAGCTGACTGGAGGGGGTAAATGTTTTCCACAATGCGTACATGCATAGCACTTCCCTTCAGTATGATCTCTTTCATGAACCTTACATGAATAGAAATTGGTGAGGGGTTTTACACAATGCTTACATGAATAAGGCTTCTCTATCGTGTGACTTCATTTATGTATGTTATGACTACTGAGGTCACTGAAGGCTTTTCCAAGATGTTTACATGCTCAAGACATTTCTCCTGTGTGAATCCTTCCATGACTGCTCAGGTGACTGGAACAAGAAAACACCTTTTCACACTGCTTAAATATATATGACTTCAATGTGAACTCTTTTCATGAGTCTTACAGGAAGTGAAATTGGTGAAGGTTTTTTCACAATGCCTACATGAAAAAGGTTTCTCTGCAATGTGACTCCTTCCAAGTCTGTTACAACTACTGGGGTTGTTGAATGATTTTCCACAATGCTTACATGCATAAGGCTTTTTCTCCAGTGTGAATTATTCCGTGGATATTCAGATGACTATGCCAGGAAAACGTTTTTTTCACAATGCTTGCATGTATGAGTCTTCTGCTTCCTGTAGTGTGGCTCCTTTTGTGTTTGTTACACCTACTGAGGTTGTTGAAGGCTTTGCCACAATGCTCATGCACAAGGTTTCTCTGCAGTGTGGCTCCTGTTATGTCTGCTACAACTACTGGGGTGGTTGAAGGCTTTTCCACAATGCTTACATGTATAATGACTCTCTGTCATGTATACCCTTTCATGAATGTTACAAGTACTGGAACAAGGGAATGATTTTCCACAACTTACATGCATAAGGTTTCTCTCCAGTATGAATTCTTTCATGAATGTTACAAAACGCAGAACTGGTAAAGTTTTTCCACAATGCTTGCAGGCTTAAGGTTTCTCTGCAGTGTTGATTTTTTCACGTCTGTTACAACCACTGGGGTCACTGAAAACTTTTCCACAATACTTACATGCATAAGGCTTTTTTCCAGTGTGAATTATTTCACGGATATTCAGATCACTGGAAGAGAAAAAGGCTTTCCCACAATGCTTGCATATATAATGCCTCTCTGCCATGTGCATTCTTTCATGAAGGTTACAATACACAGAACTGCTGAAGTTTTTTCCACAATGCTTTCAGGCATAAGGCTGTTGTCCAATGTAATTGTTTTCATGACTGTTATAAACACTGAATTTGGTGAAGGATTTTCTAAAATGTATAGAAGCATATGGCTTCTCTACTTTGTGAGTTACTTTTATCTCTCAAAACATGTTACATATTTAAATGTTTTGCCACATTGCCTACAAATGTACCTTTTCTCTTCAATATGACTTTTTTCGTAGTTGGTAATGTCACTGGAATCAGTGAAGGCTTCTTCACAGACATTACATACAAATTGTTTCACTTCTTTATAGATTCCTTCATCATTCTGGCCATATGGGAATTTTACTAAGACATCCTCATTGAGTTTATTTTCAGTATGACTTCTCTCCTGAGGCTGATCAAAACAGAGACTCCTACAGGCTTCATTACACTGTTGAATTTTACAGGGTTTCTCTTTAGGAGAAGTTTCAAATACCTGAAGTGATTAAGAATAACTGATATCTTTCCAATGTTTCTGATGTACAAAAGTTTTTGCTACAATTCCCTTATACAGGGGTGGTTTCCCTCTAGATTTTTTCTCTTAGATACTCATGTAAAGATAAATGACCAATAATGTGTCTTACATGCAACGGAGTCTCATGAACTCTTATTCTGGAATGCATTTCTTTATTGATCATACTGTCTGGAATAGGTTGCTGGTTTGTATCACAATCATTTTGACATTCATATCATTGGTCTTTCACAATCCCCTGATATCTGCAAAAAATAAAAAAAAATAACAATAAAAAAGAGAGGAAAGCAATACTGTAGCCAAGAGAAATATTGGAGGCTGGCCTGTGTGGAACACAACTATACTATCTCAGAGGGAAGAGAACAATGGTATCAATGTGAAGAACATTATGTATGGCATGGAAAGACCCAGCCATGTATAAAGAAGTAGAGGACTGCTTTTATTTTTCTCAGATTTTTTTTTTTTTTTTTTGATTTTTCAAGACAGGGTTTCTCTATAGCTTTGGTGCCTGTCCCGGAACTAGCTCTTGTAGACCAGGCTGGCCTCAAACTCCCAGAGATCCGCCTGCCTCTGCCTCCCAAGTGCTGGGATTAAAGGCGTGCGCCACCACCCCCCGGCTTTCTCAGAATTCTTAAGGAGCTGTATCACGAACTTTGTGGTTAATAACAATTCTCAATCTTTAAGAAAACCAGAATTAATGACAAGGATTTATGTGAAGAGCTCACAAATTCTGATACACTTGATATGAAGAATTTCTTGCATTTTTTGCCTATCACAAATGTTTCTGACAAAAGGTTTGCATAAAAACATAACTCAGATACAATTGATATATAATTTAACTAAGAGGTGTAAAAGGATGAACAGGGAGAAAAAAATCCTGGTCTCTGAGGACAAAAATAGCAAGCATATAAAGTGGAGAACCACTGTGGCATGCCAGCATTCTAAATACTCAGCCAGTGTGGGTTAGTTAGTCATCAACTAGACCCATCTGTGGTCATAGGACAGGGTCCCTCAATTGAAAAATGACTCAATCAGATTGGCCTGGAAACAAGTCTGTGAAACCACTTTCAAATTCCTGATAAAGGAGGTTTTACTGTGTTGGGTAGTGTGCCCATGGGAAGGAGATCATGTTCTGTGTATGAAATGTATGTGCTAGTTAGTTTTGATCTACTTGACACAAACTAGAACCCACATTTGGGAAGAAGCAACTAGACAGCAGAAAATGGCTTTATCAGATTGACATTTAGACATGTCTCTGGTAGCTTTGTCTTGATCATTGTATGAGGTGGAGTGGCCTAGTTCACTATGGGTGGTATCCCCCTAGAGATGTGGGCTAAGGCTGAGTAAGGCACGTAGCTGATTTAGGGATGATGATCACTCCTGTAAACAGGATTTCTCCTTCACTTCTACTTCACTGCCTACTTCCAGATTCCTGTCATGCTTCAGTTCTTCCCCTGACTTTCCTTTATGAAGGGACTGTGACAAGGAAGTGTAAAATTGTCCTCCACCACACACATGAAATACACAAATATTGAATGTCACAATTCAAGGCTCCATTACAGGAATTTGTGTAGACTCATTTTTCACTTAGGTATATTTGGAGCACTTGGCAGGTTCTTAAATGTCCCTTAAGTCCCAAATGTATAATATAAATTATTATTTTATTGAATATAATTTACCCCATATTCCTGCTGAGACCTTTAGAGTCCTCTTCAGTATTTTCTTCTAGTGTTTTTTCTACAATAAAATCCAGAGAATATATTATGACACATTCATATTCAACATAAAAATAATTGCAACCTAGTTCTTAGGATATGGGTATGCACACTAACTAAATACCCACATCAAGAATTCAATACTAACATAACATGCATAAGCAGGAGACAATTGTTCACTGACTGAATAAGCAATGGGAACATGCAATACTTTTTACCTATGGAGATCAGGTTCAAAAACGTGTCCTTCACGTCTCTGTAGAGCTTCTTTTGACTAGAATCCAACACAGCCCACTCTTCTGAGGTGAAGTTCACTGCCACATCCTCAAATTTTACTGGATCCTATGAGTACACACATTAATTAGGATGGTTAATTTTCACTGACAGACTGACAGGATACAGAATCATCTTGCATGTATGTTTCTGAAGATACCTCTGAGTTATTATATCAATAGGATTTACTGAAGAATATCATGGGATGCTATCTTGATTACTTGATGTCCCACTGTCTCATTTACTATTTATTAGCGTGTCACTCACTAGCAGCTTCACACTTCTGAATTTTATGAACTCGACTCTTCAATTGTGATATGAAATAAACTGCTTCTTCCCTAAGTAACTTTTCTCATAATAATCTGTGACTGCCAGAGGAAAAGCCTGATATAAGGAACAGCAAGGCAGGAAATCCAAGCAGAGAAGAGGAACAAAGAAGGCAGAATCAGGGAGCTTCCATAAAGCTGCTGAAGGAGAAAGAAGCCAAAAGTTTTCAGGTAAGCCACAGTCTTGTGGTGATACATAGATTAATAAAAATGGGTTAACTTAAGATATAGAGTTAGTTACTAAGACTGACCTAATAAGCCAAAAAGCACATAATTAATATTAAGCCTTAGAGTGGTTATTTCATAAGCAGTTGTAAGAGCTAGTGAATGGGACCCAGTGGGTGAGGACAAACTGGTCCAGGGGGACCAGAGGACTGGAGAATATTTGTAGCTACATAATGGTGGCCAATATTTGTCCGCATACATCTACATAAAGCCTAAGAAAGCTTTAAAAAAAAAGGGGCTTTTAGACCCACAAATGCAGGAGTCAACTGGAGCTTCTTGGTAGCCACATTTTTTCAGAGAGCCTCTGCTTGCTGGTGGCTACGAGAGACACTGCTCCTTTAATACATGGCATCCTGGATCATGCTGGTATCAGGCTCAGCTCTGGCGCTTTTGGTAGGTCCTAATGTGGAGCATTTATGGGGTTTGTGGGAAGCTTGTAGCAAGTGCTTGCTGGAGATGTGCTGGCAAACATGATTTGCAGAGCTAGTGGTAAATTTACCTCCACCATATTGAAAGGTTGAGAGAGGGGAGTCAGCATCCACAGTGTCAATAACCATACTGCTTACCATTTAAAAAAACTAAACCAAACAAAACACTCCTTGTCAGAAAAGTATTTCAGAGACAAAATAGGACAGAATCAGACATAAAAGAACTTTAAATGAGCAACAGTGTGCTTTAAAAGGGTGTACAGGCTTGGGAGAGAGTGCAAAAATGAGTATAGACAGGTATAAAAAGAAAGTTTTAAAAAAAGTCTTTAAAGGGACAGTAAAAATTATGTAAAACAAATAAGTCACATATAAATGGAAAATACACAGAGAATCTGAATTGTGCACATTATTGTGTTTTCTTCGAATTCTTTACTGCAGAGATACATTTGATTCTAGGGACTGCTAAGCTAAACCAACATACATATATTGAAGGTATCTTGACTTCAAAATTTGAGTTTAAGAATATGTTACTTTGGAAAAGAGGTTCTGCTTTCGTTTCATAGGTGATGAGAACTTGTAAATTCTTTACACACAAATATGTTTTGATAGAACAAAAGATCTCCATGTACTCTAAAAATACTTCATCCAACAAACAACAGGAATCAGTTTGGAGAAAACAATACACAAATTCCCAAAATGATTCTTTATAAATGTTTGCTTTTATTTAAAGTGGGTTGATTATAAGTAGTTAACAGTCACAGTCAATGTCTTTCTTAAAAAGGGGGTGGGGTGGGATATGATATAGAAATAAATACTTTTTTGTGTTTTGTTTTGTTTTTAGAGACAGGGTTTCTCTGTAACTTTGGAGCCTGTCCTGGCACTAGCTCTTGTAGACCAGGCTGGCCTTGAACTCACAGAGATCCGCCTGCCTCTGCCTCCCGAGTGCTGGGATTAAAGGAGTGCGCCACCACCGCCAGGTTGAAATAAATACTTTACATTGGTATGAACTTGGGTTTATTGATACAAATTTAAGGTCAATTTTTTTATATGTATAGTTCTACTATTGCTTAAATTATTAGATTTATATAGCTCATTTAAAAATGCAATGCACAATTAAAAATTAAGCTTAATAGTCATTTATAATTGTGAAACCCTTACCCCTTATTCTCAAAGGGGCAAGAAGAAATTTCCTAGCAGAGTGTTTTCCCAGGAAGATAGTGGCCTTCCCCTCTCCCACCTGGGAGATTCTGAACACAAGGTCACTGAGCTCAGCCAAGCCAGCCACCTGGTACAGGCTGATAAAGATGGCCTAACTCAGGAACAGGGGCCTTGCTCTAAAAACAAGAAAAAAGCTGACTTAACAGAATGGGAGGGAGCAAAAGTCCTTGCATCTGTGCCAAAGCAGCTTCAAAGATTCTCTTTGTAGTTATGCCTTTAAAAGCTTACCCCACAGAGGAGATACAACTCTTCTCTACCTCGTTGTAATAAGGATGGAGATGAGTTCCAAACATGTTTGTATTATGCTGATTAAACCTTGCTTATTACAGTCTGAGCCTCTCTGGTGGTCTCTCTCTTTGGGGGTTGTAATATGGGCACAACAATAATATTCAAACTTATAATCATGTAAGTTATGTTTCCTAGATATACAGAGGTATATTTCAGTTAGATAATCTTCAATACTTCAAAGTCCTACAGCATATGGCATTTAAAGGGTTTTAAGAACTTAGACTGTTCTCCACAGTGAGACATATCTGCTTTGGCAGCACTAATTCCTTCAGAGAGGTTGATGGGCAACTGAACATGAAACTAATGAATCCCTGAACAGAAAACCAACCAATCCTTGATCACTAAATGCAGCCAATTTGAGCTTAAGAGACTTCAAATCTGAAAAATTCCCATCCTGAAAATCTTTTCCATAAAAGAACTCCAGCCCTGGGAAGCCTGATCATTTGGCAGCTGCCCATCTCCACCTTGGCAGAAGCAGCCAGTCTCTGGATTCTGCCCTCCAAAATAAATCCCTGAAAAAGTTTTGGGTGAAAATCTTCCTCGCCTGAGTGAAACAGAGTCTTTCCTGAGAAACTCGATAGGGAAGTAGTGAAGAGAAGCAACAGACACCTCTGCTGAGAAACTCACTTAGGGTAGTAGAGCAGAAGTAACTTTTTGCAGGAGCCAGTGCATATTGCTACAAGTCTGTGGGGGTTGCCCCTTTAGCAGCGTGAAGCAAAAGAAATAACAACTAGAGCCATAGCTGAAAAGAACCAGACACCTCTCCTGAGAAACTCCCCAGTAGGGTGGAGGACAGAAGCAATGGACATCTCTGCTGTTAAATTCCCTTAGGGGTGTGGGCAGAGCTCAGCTGTAATGGCTCTCTCTTGGAGAGGTGTAGAATTGGCATATCTGGCAAGGAGACTCACCCACTGGGTCCATGGGTTATTGCTGTTACACATGCTATTTTTGGAAGGACCATGATAGTGCTTAGAACTTTCAACTGGAAAAGTCAGAGAGTGCTCAAAGTTTAACGATCGGTTTTGGCAGATTGGGATGTAAGAATGTTAAGAGCAATGGAAAAATGAAAGCCTGGCCTTTTCAAGTTTGTGAAGGATGTCCTGGCTGCAACTTATGTCATACACTTGATCACCATGGCTGATGTGAAAGGCGAAGGAGTGTCCCCTTCCACCCTTACAGCTCCAAGTGGATTGATTCCTCTTGCAGCTGTGTGTTTTGTCAAGGGGAGAACCTTCCCTGAGTAGAGGAACAGCAGCTGTGCTCCCAAGTAAATGCTCAAAGGAATGTTTAAGAGTACCCTGAAGACTCGTTTAGTGTTCAAGCAAAAGTTTATATTAAGAATCTATATGGTTCTTAATTGCAAATTAGGTCGGTAACCAGACCAGCTCAAGAATAACAGTGATATTTTAATGTTTAAAAAGGGCAAACTCACGCTACAAGAGTGAGAGGTCTGACGTTCTATCTGTCCGGTGGGCACAGTGCAGAGAGAGCAAAGCAAGTACCTGGTTGCTCCCAGTTTTTCTACCTGGGCCCCAGGAAGCCACACCCTAACTAGATGTGATTGGTTGACAGGGTTTCCCCAGCAGTTCTTAGCAACTTTGTCCTAGATCCCCGGGCTAGAAATCAAAGTCACCTTCACTGACAACAGGAGCGGCAGGAAGAGACCAGGACACTCCTTGACTGGAAATGGCTGAGTCTCTCACTCACTGTACAGCTGTCCACTATTCCTGAACATGGGGGATGCTCTGGAGTGTAGTTCTTCTACCCAGAGTCACTCCATTGGAAATAAGCAGCTTTCCCTCTCCTAGTCCTTGGAACCTTGCAGCAGAGCCTGCTCCAGTGCTGAGGGGACTGGAGAGGTGAGTCAGGGGCCACATAGAGGGACAGCCGGAAGTGCCACTCTCTGGGACCTTTTCACAAGGACAGAATCCAGCCCCCCACTCCCCAACTTCCCTAAGCTTTTCTGGCCATCCAGCTGGGTGTGTTTCTGCTGCTGGGCTTTCTTTACTCCAACCCCACCCTGCCCCCAAGCCCACCTTTTCGCCATGATGTCCTTGGAACCCTGCAACACAGCCTGCTTCAGTGCTGAGGGGATCTGAGAGGAGAGTCAGCATGCACAAGCCCAGACAGCCGGACCTTCCACTCTCCAGAACCTTACCAGAGGGCCTGAACTTAGGGACTCCTCCACAACTCCCTAGGTTTTTTGCCAGCCAGCTGGGAGTAGCCCTGCTGCTGGAATTTCCCCCAACCCACTCTGCCCCCAAACCCCTTTTCACCCATGAGATCCTTGAAATCCTGCAACCCAGCCTGTTCCAGTGCTGAGGGGACCTAAGAAAGGACAGATCAAGGAAAACTCCCAAGTACTCAATCAGCCACAGCAAAAATTGGACCAAGACGCCAAGACTCTGCTGGCCTCATTTGAAGGAAGGGATGGGTAGGAACCAATGCAATAATTCCTCCAACATCCTGAAAACCAGTATGGTAACACCAGAATCCAGTGAACACGCAACAGGAAGACTTGAACTTCCTAACCCAGAAAAAGAAGAAGGAAATGACTTTAACTGTAACATTATGAAAATGACGGAGACCTTTAAACAGGAAATGAAAAACTCCCTTAAAGAAATGGAAGAGAAGACAAACAAAAAGTTAGAAGAAAGTAATAAATCCCTAAAAGATACCCAAGAAAACCAAGAAAAAAAAAACAATCAAACAGGTAAGGGAAACAGTTTAAGACTTGAAGAACTAGGAGCTGGAGAGATGGCTCAGTGGTTAAGAGCACTGTCTGCTCTTCCAGAGGTCCTGAGTTCAATTCCCAGCAACCACATGGTGGTTCACAACCATCTGTAATGAGATCTGGCGCCCTCCTCTGGTGTGTGGGCATACATGGAGGCAGAATATTGTATACATAATAAATAAATAAATAGATAAATAAATAAAGACTTGAAGAACAAAGTGGAGGAAATAAAGAAAACACAAACCGAGGGAAGGCTGGATATGGAAAATCTGGGTAAAAAAACAGGAACTACAGAGACAAGTATAACCAACAGAACAAGAGATAGAAAAAAGAATCTCAGGCGCTGAGCATACAATAAAGGAAATAGACTCATTGATCAAAGAAAACATTAAATCCAGCAAATTCTTAACACAAAACATTCAGGAAATCTAGGACACCATGAAAAGACCAAACCTAAGAATAATAGGGGTAGAAGAAGGAAAAGAACTCCAGCTCAAAAGCATAGAAAATATATCACAAAAAATTATAGAAGAAAACTTTTCCAACCTAAAGAAGGATATCCCTATGAAGGTACAAGAAGCTTACAGAATATTAAATAGACTGGATAAAAAAAATCCCATGACCATATAATAATCAAAACACAAAACATACAGAATAAAGAAAGAATATTAAGAGCTACAAAGGAAAAAGGTCAAGTAACTTATAAAGGTAAACCTATCAAAATTAAACCTGACTTCTCAATGGAAACCATGAAAGCCAGAAGGTCTTGGATAGATGTGCTGCATACACTAAGAGACCATGGATACAAGCCCAGAGTATTATACCCAGCAAAGCTTTCTTTCACCATTGATGGAGAAAACAAGATATTCCATGACAAAAACAAATTTAAACAATACATACTCACAATCCCAGCCTTACAGAAAGTACTAGAAGGAAAACCTCAACCAAAGGAAGCTAACGACACCCACAATAACAGAGACATCTGATAACCCTCCACCAACACAACTCAAAGAAAGGAAACAAACAAACATTACCACCAAAAAATAACCAGAGTTAACAACCACTGGTCATTAATATCAATAATATCAATAGATTCAATTCACCTATACAAAGGCACAGGTTAAGAGAATGGATACGAAAACAGGATCCAGCATTCTGCTGTTTACAAGAAAAACACCTCAACCTCAAAGACAGACACTACCTCAATTTAAAGGGTTTGGAAAAGGTTTTCCAATCAAATATGGACCTAAGAAACAAGCAGGTGTGGCTATCCTAATATCTAACAAAATTGATTTCAAACTAAAATCAAACAGAAGAGATGGAGAAGGATACTTTATACTCAAAACAGGAACAATTCATCAAGATGAAGTCTCAGTCCTGAATATCTACGCCCCTAATATAAAAGCACACACTTATGCAAAAGAAACATTACTAAAACTCAAATCACACATCAAACCCCACACAATAACAATAGGAGATTTCAACACTCCTCTCTTGCCAATGGACAGGTCAACCAGACAGAAACTTAACAGAGAAATAAGAGAACTAACAGATGCAATGAATCAAATGGACTTAACAGACATCTATAAAACATTCCACCAAAACAGGAAAGAATATACCTTCTTCTCAGCACCTCACAGAACCTTCTGTAAAATTGATCACACACTCGGTAACAAAGCAAACCTCAACAAATACAAAAAAATTGGAGTAACCTGTGTCTTATCAGATCACCATGGAGTAAAGTTAGAATTTAACAACAATACTACTCCCAGAAAGCCTACAAACACATGGAAACTGAACTGCACTACCCATGGATCAGAGAAGAAATAAAGAAAGAAATTAAAGTCTTCCTGGAATTCAACAAAAATGAAGAAACAACATATCCAAACCTATGGGACACTATGAAAGCACTGCTAAGAGGAAAGTTCATAGCACTAAGTGGCTGCATAAAGAAAACGGAGGAAGCTCACATTGGAGACTTAACTGCACAGCTGAAAGTTCTAGAAAAAAAGCAGCAGACTCACTCAGGAGGAGTAGAAGATTAGAAATAATCAAACTGAGGGCTGAAATCAACAAAATAGAAACACAGAAAACAATCCAAAGAATCAATGAGACAATGAGCTGGTTCTTTGAGAAAGTCAACAAGATTGACAAACCTTTATCCAAACTAACCAAAAAACAGAGAAAGAACACCCAAATTAACAAAATCAGAAATGAAAAGAGAGACATAACATCAGACACTGAGAAAATTCAGAGAATCATTAGATCTTACTACAAAAGCCTGTACTCCACAAAATTGGAAAATGTAAAAGAAATGGACATTTTTTTAGATAGACATCATATACCAAAATTAAATCAAGACCATGTGAGCAATTTAAATAGACCCATAAGTCATGAGGAAATAGAAGCTGTGATCAAAAACCTCCCAACCAAAAAAAAAAATAAAATAAAATAATAAAAGCCCAGGACCAGATGGTTTTAGTGCAGAATTCTACCAGAACTTCCAAGAAGGGCTGATACCTATACTTCTTAATGTGTTCCACATAATAGAAACAGAGGAGTCATTGCCAAACTCTTTTTATGACGCTACAGTTACCCTGATACCAAAGTCACACATGAAAGAGAATTACAGACCAATCTCACTCATGAAAATCGGTGCAAAAATTCTCAATTAAATACTGGCAAACCAAATCCAAGAGTGCATTAAAAAAAAAATCATCAATATGATCAAGTAGGCTTCATCCCAGAGATGGAAATTCTATCAATGCAATCCATCATATAAATAAACTGAAAGGAAAAAAAAAACTATATGATCATTTCATTAGATGCCAAAAAAACTTGACAAAATTTAACACCCCTTTATGCTGAAGGTATTGGAGAGATTAGGGATACAAGGATCATATCTAAATATAATAAAAGCAATATACAGCAAGCTGACAACTAACATCAAATTAAATGGAGAGAAACTCAAAGCAATTCCACTAAAATCAGGATAGGACAAAGCTGTTCATGCTCTCCATATCTCTTCAACAAAAGACAAGATCTTGGAAGCAGACAAGATCGCCAGGCAAAAGTTTGGAGCATGGAGGTAGGGAGGGTAGAGGGAAGGGGAGTGGGGGAGAGAGGGGGAAAACGGGAGGGTCAGGGAGAGCTTGGGGGAGTGGGATGGTTGAGATGGAGGAAGGAAGGATATGGGAGCAGGGAAGGAGTTATCTTAATTGAGGGAACCATTTTAGGGTTGGCAAGAAGCTTGGTTCTGGAGGGGTTCCCTGGAGTCCACCGGGATAACTCCAGCTAGGACCCTGGGCAGTGGAGGAGAGGAGGGTGCCTGAACAGGCCTTGTCCGGTAGTCAGACTGATGACCATCTTGAATATCACCATAGAACCTTCCTCCTTCAATGGATGGAGATAGAGACAGAGACCCACATCCGAACCCTGGACTGAGCTTCCAAGGTCCAGCTGAAGAGCAGGAGAAAATATGAGCAAGGAAGTCAGGACCACTAGGGGTTGGTTCACCCACTGAGACAGTGTGCCTGAGTTAATGGGAGCTCACCAACTCCAGCTGGACTGGAAATGAACGAGTATGGGAGCAAACTGGACCCTCTGAATGTGGCTGACAATTGGGATAGACTGAGAAGCCAATGATAATGGCACTGGGATTTGTCTCTACTGCATGTACTGGCTTTTGGGATCCTATTCTCTTTGGATGCATACCCTCCTTAGCCTGGATGTAGGGGGGAGGCCCTTGGACTACTCACAGGGCAGGGTGCTTTGCCCTCTCTTCGGATTTGAGGGGGGTCGGGGGAAGAGTGGGGGGGGGCAGGAGGGAAGTGGGAGGAGGGGAGGAAGTGGGAATTGTGATTCGTATTATTCATAAAGTAATAAAAAAAAAGGGGGGGAAACGAGTCTTAGAGCAGGGCATGGAACTGACAGGGAGATTCTGGCCCCCCAAAATCAGCGTAGATCAGGTCGTAAGGACTCCAGAGCCAGCAATTCCAGAGGTGCACGCTGGAGCCTTTGGGTGCAGTGCAATGTGTGAGCGACCCACCATTCCCGCTGCACAGTCAGGTGGCCCTCAAGGACCTGGAGTCATGCTGCCCCGATCTGAAAGACTCTTGGGACTTCCACGTAGCCCAGATCTAGAGGCCAGGGCATTCTTGGGGTCCCCAGATCTCAGGGAATGCCACATGAGCTAGAAGAATCTCACAAATTTGAGGACCCTCCCAAAAGTACCCACAGCGAGAAGCCAGTAGGGGAGCCGCTGAGGTGATCCGAGTCCCCCAAATCGTTAAGAATGCCCAGCAGGGATAACCGCTGGTGGTCAGGAAGTAGGGGAATATGGTGGCCTCCCTGAGTATTCAGAGGTGTCCTAGCAGGGCAGGGGGCACGAGGTCACTTACGCTGCTGTTCTCGCCTGTCCAGTGCACCATTGCCTGGTTGTGTGTCGCGTCCCCCTTGAGCACGAACGACGTGCTGATGAGAGAGACCTGCATGCGGGAGGCAGAAATGGCCACCGGCGCCGCCAGCGCCCTGCGCCCCTGGCCCGGAAATAGGACGCCATCGGCGCTGGGACCAGAAGCAAGACCTGGACCAGGACGCGGAGCGCTGGGCTCGGATCCTCGTGTCTGGGGATCCTCGCGATCGCCGGATTTCGGGCCTCCCGCGTACAGCAGCCGGGTGACCTGCACGCTGGGACCCAGGCTCCCGGACTCGGGAGAGTGCCCCGCCGCCCCGCTGGCAGCCACCAGCATTAGCAGCAGCAGCGGCAGTGGCAGTGGCAGAGGCCACAAGCGCGGCCAGCGCGGCGGCGGCGGAGCATGGGAGCTCGGGGCCGGCACGGTGAGGCCAGGACGCTTCGGGGCTCCTGGTGTTTCCCGGTGCGCCATGGTCGCGGGTTAGCAGCGGCGGTGCGGTGTGGGTGACACCGCGGCCTGGAGAGCGGGAGGGCGTTGGGAGTTGGAGCAAGAGCGCACAGAAAAAAACCAGGAGGAATGGAGTGCGGGAGGAGGGGTCTCAAAGCCGCCACGCAGCCAATGGAACACCGCCACCTGACGGCTGCGCGCTAGCCACCACAGCTTTGGGCTGGGCCAGACCAGAATGTCCTGAGCACAGTCACACCTCCAAGACCCCCTTCCTTCCCTCTCAGTGACTCCCAAGCTCAGCCTAGATCCTCCTCTTATTCCCTCTTTCCATTCTCCCTGCCTTTCTCGGGAGGTTATGGAGCCTCTACATTTGGCCAGCAGAGTTCCAGGCACTTGGGGCACAACGGGATGCAACAAAGGAAGACAGGCCACACCCAAGTAGCCTGGTTAGAGGCCAAACAATTCAAGGGCTCCCCATCAGCAAAAGTGGTGAGACCGCCTCCTCTGGTAGCTTTTGGAGAGGTTCAGAAGGATACCTTGAGAGTCGTGAAAACCAGAGATGCTCCAAGCAGTTAAGGACTGTGCAGAAACCTTGGGGTGTCACCTCAAGACCAACGCAGTATCTCAGACATGGGCTTTATCTCCCACCCCCAGGGGAAGCCCCTGAACAGAAGAATAAACCTGTGTAGGGGTATCCAGGCGAGAAGGACAGAGAAAGGTCCCAGCCAGATGGTACAGACCACCACAGAACGCATGGAAACTAGATGCAGAGTCCACTATGTTCAGTCAAAGTCACTTGGCTGCTTTCGTTCCTTGCTTATGAAAGCAGCCATCATTACCAGCCGCTCTGCCATCCAGACGGGCTTGTGAGAGGCTGACCTGCCAAACAAGCTCTTACGTGTCATTGACTACTATCCCTTGAAGAGCGTTCATTACTGGAAAGAGTCCAGGTTTGGGGGACTAGAGAGTAGCGTTTTGAATTACAAATAACCAGGCATGAATAACGTCCTGTGGAGGACTGCAAGAAGAAAGGCTAAGAGCTATTAATATTTGAAAAGTCACCTTAGTTGTTATCTGCTGATGTTGAATCTGCTGCATGAGACATTTAAAGACATTAAGGATTAACAATACCACTCAACTAGATAAGGCATATGTGACCATTTATGTGGGATTCTATAGCCCTTTTATATTATTCCAAACCTTTTCAAAAAATGAGTAGTTGAAGTGCATAACCTCTGCCCTTAATAAGCCAGTGAGAGCAAGAATGAGGAATACATGATTATCCATCTTGGGTTATTTCCTCCTTAGTAGAAGTACGCTGATTCATGTCTGGGTTTACATCTCTTACTGGAACCCATATTGGCTTTGTGGCAGGCTGAGGAAAAACACAAGCATTCCCTTCTCTCATGGCTTAGCAGGGAGCTGGCATCTGCCTGTAGAGGGAGATAGGATCTCTCCATCTGAACAAGTGCATTGGTGTGATCCCTCACAGGAATACACAGTGCTTCTTAGCTGGGCTGAACCCCTTACCATCAAAGCTGAGAAACTTCATATGGAAAAGGACCTCTGTTAAAGCCAGATGAGGATCTCTCCTAGCCTCTGGTGAGAGTCCTAGTGAACAGCTTATTAAGAGCTCTGTTGGTCCTCTCCACAATGGCTTATCCATGTGGATTGCAGGTGATGCCAGTGGTGTGGGAAAACTTCCAAGAGCCCAGAAAGTCATTGAATCATTGAGAGGCACAGGCAGGGCCATCATGGACCTCAAGGTTATCAAAGAAAACTCTATCATCAGTAGTTAGGACAACATCCATATTCTCCACGATGTCTCTGCCCCAGAGGTTTCTAGGTACCACAGAAATGATAAGGTGAATGGCTTCCTTGTTGCCATCAAGGTCTCTCCAATAGATGGGATTGGTGGAAACTTTTGAATCTTGTTGGCTTCCTACACCACTAAAGGGAGGCACAGGTCTAAATTTCCAATGGGGGAAGTGGAGTGCTTCCATTTGTTTATATGGTGACATCACACCCATGTTCACCAAGCCTGTGAGAGCTTTTTCAAAAAAAATAAACAGTTAACATTGGGTATCATGGAAAAATGAGCAATGTCCAATTGATTTTTAGATTACCAGAGCCTCCTCTTACTGGTGCAGCTGAGGAGTGCCCTGCCTAGAGTTTAAAGGGGTAGGTACTCCAGCAGATTGTGATGTGCAATCCTTTACCCAATGAAATCTGTTATTGCATCTGGTGCATCATGTGCTAGGTTTTGCCCTGGGATAGTCATTCCATAGATGGCCTGGTTTGCTGCATCCCCAGCAAGATCTATCTACTTGAGGAGCCTTGGATATGTTGTGGACACCCTGCCTGTCTTCAAGAAGGGCATCCAGGGAAGTTGTATGGACAGCCATGGGACCACTACTGGGGTCAAGATCTCTTGTGACCAATACCCACTTGTGAAAGTCCTTATTGCAGACCACTGTGATTGCATTATGGGCTGGACATTCCCAAACCATGACTGATGGATGGGATGAAAAAAGTTCCTTATCCAGTGATCATGTCAAGGGTCACTGGAACATTAATTAAGAACTTGAGCTTTCTCTCAATCTTTGTAAACTGATTTTTAAGCTAAGAAACATGACCAGTCCCTGCACAGCATTGAGAACAGTATAGAACCCAAAGTAAATCTGTACTTGAATTGTCCATTGAGTGATGACCTGTCCATTAGTCATGGATTGGCCTTCAAGCCTGTTACCACCATTTTTCTAACCTGGCCTTCAGAGCTCTTAGCATATGTAGGCTGTGGGACCCTTCAGCATACTTCTGCAATCTTATTCAAAAGACAGGGAAACATTTATTGATTTTTTTTAACATGTGTCAATGAGGAAGTAGAGTGGAGAGTAGACCAGCTAGGGAAATGTTAATCAGTTTGTTTGAGGACAAGACTGTAAAGCAGCTTTATCCATGTCTATCTTGTCCTTAGGAATAATTCTATTACAAACTGACCATGAGTTTAACATTTGAGTCACAAAAGGGGAATTTATACCATGTAATAGTATCGCTTCCTGCTGGCATAACTGGATATCAACATGTAGAAAAATGAAAACAGACACATATCTATCTCCATGCACAAAACTCAAGTCCAAATGGATCAAAGACCTCAACATAAAGCCTTATAGAACCTTATAGAAGAGAAAGTGGGAAGTACACTTGAATGCATTGGCACAGGGAACCACTTCCTAAATAGAACCCCAGCAGCACAGACACTGAGAGAAACAATTAATAAATGGGACCTCCTGAAACTTAAAAGCTTCTGTAAAGCAAAGGACATGTTCAACAAGACAAAACAATAGCCTAAAGAATGGTAAAAGATCTTCACTAACCCCACATCAAACAAAGGTCTGATCTCTAAAATATACAAAGGACTCAAGAAATTGGATACCAAAAGATCACATAATTCAATAAAATTGGAATACAGACCTAAACAGAGAACTCTCAGCAGAGGAATCTAAAATGGCTGAAAGACACATAAGGAAATGTTCAACATCACTAGTCATCAGAGAAATGCAAATCAAAAGAACTCTGAGATTCCATCTTACACATGCAAGAATGACCAAGATCATAAACACTGATGACAACTTATGCTGGATAGGATGTGGGGGAAAGGGAACACTTCTGCACTGCTGGTGAGAATGCAAGCTGGTACAGCCCCTTTGGATGTCAGTGTGGTGATTTCTCAGAAAACTAGGAAACAACCTTCATCAAGACACAATAATATCACTTTTGGGTATATATCCAAAGGATGCTCAATCGTGCCACAAGGACATATGCTCAACTATGTTCATAGCAGCTTTGTTTGTCATAGCCAGAACCTGGAAACAACGTAAATGCCCCTGGATCGAAGAATGAATAAGAAAAATGTGGTACATTTACACAATGGAGTACTACACAGCAGAAAAAAATAACAACAGGTTGAATTTTGCAGGAAAATAGATGGAGCTAGAAAACATTATTTTGAGTGAGGTAACCCAGACACAGAAATACAATTATCACATGTAATCACTCATAGGTGGTTTTTAAACATAAAGCAAAGAAAGCAAGCCTACAAACCACAATCCCAGAGAACTTACACAATAATGCAGACACTAAGAGAGACTTACATAGATCTAATCTACATGGGAAATAAAAAATATAAAAAGACAAGATCTCCTGAGTAAATTGGGAGCATGGGGACCTTGGGGGAGGATTGAAAGGAGAAGGGGAGAGGCAAAAAAGGGAGCTGAAAAAAAGTAGAGCTCAATAAATATCCATAAAAAAAAGTGTATCAATTCCTTGAATCTCCTTAAATCTAACATGGGCACAGGCATTCAGTTTAGCTCTTTTAGTAATTTGGCAATTCCTGTTAGGTTACTGGATATATTAAAATTGGATTTTGAGAACCTTAGGCTGTTCTTCCCTAAACGTAAAATTCAGTGTTGAGATTGGTTCTCCATTAAATTCCTCATTTGTACATGAATATCTCAATAATTTATTTTATTAAGTTTTTCCTATACTTGTATCTTGGTAGTCAAACCAAACAACTTCTTAAGAGATCAACCAAGATTTATCAAAACAACATCAAGGTAGTCATAGTGGTAACTAGTAGTATGTTTATCCAATTTAAGTTGATTATCCCTTCATTTAGTTGTTTCATTTTAAAAACATACATTATATAATCATAGAGACATAATTTTCTCTACTGCAATTTTGCTTTGTATATTTTAGCATGGGAAAACTCTCCCTTTTAACCAATTCCTACCTCTAAAATTTCCATTTTTTTCACCTAATCTGCTACTTATGATGATGAAGAAGTGAGGCTTCTTCTCCACAGAGCACTAATATCTTGATAGAACTTCAAGGCAGCTATCTGGCTTTGCAGCAGCCCAACAAGAAGCTTCCTGGAAAGTCCACCAGGACAGAAGAAAGGAAAATCTAACCGGTAGTGTGGTGACTCCAGCAACATGTAGCTCTGGCTGCTACCAGTGGTGCAAAGAGACAGGCAAATAGGCTTTTCATTAATTCAGACCTCCAAAAGGTGGGCACCAGATGTCACATGAATAATAAAAACCCAGAGACAATATTGAGATTCACGCTGAAGACCAGAAAAGCAAAGCAGTCAAGCCA